TAATCCAACCTGAGAAGTCAATGTACCTTCACCATCTGTTTACTAGTAATTAATAAAACATGCTGATGTACCATCTCATCCTCTCCTTTTTTATAGAATGAAATACATTTCATGACTCCATATGTATTAACAATGAATGAAGTACATAAGATACAGAATAATATACTTAAAAATGAAGTATATATAATCCTTAATCATTTCTATACAGTACACCTAACACACGACAAAATGATATAATCAGCAAATTAATTCACCTCAGAACAATTATTAGGCCCAACCGGTTCTCTCAGGCAATTAGAAATTGCCGTTACTGCTGCTTCAATAGATGCATCTTCCCCCTATGTCATCATGTGTAATGTTAAATCATTAACTAAGCTAATCAAAAATAGCTAGATTGAGAAGAAGAAGAAGAATCAACCTTTTCTTTCCAATAGAAAATGTTCCCATATTTCCCAGCCAAGCGACTCCAAAAGCTACGTGGAATGTCCAAATCAACTGAAGCACCAACGTTGAAATTCAAAATATTACCTGATCAACAAAAACCTCTTCATATATTATTTCTACTGCTAGATGTATCAAGAAAGAAGCAAAAAGGAAAGTAAAGAAGACAGTAAAAAGTAACAAAGAAAAGTGTGGCGGGTCCTTTACCAAACGTGGGATCAGCAACAAAGACAACTGTTCTGTCATCTACCTGCCAGAAATCTTTGACAGCCAAACCTGCATAATTCATCAGTTTCAGCTTTCTAGTTTTCTTTAATAGTCTTAACCCTTAAATTTCAGAAGCAGCCTGTGAATTACGTGAGATCCATATTTTGCTAAATTGTGTGCAATGACCATAGTCAAAAACCTGGCGTATCAGGATAGTTCTGGGCCAAAACCCTTAACTTGAATCCGGTATCTGCTTCAAGAGCAGCAATCTCTGCTGCTAATCTTTTCTCCTGTAGAAGAATCATTGATTAAACATCGTTGACATTCCTTCTACCCTAAACTCACAAACACGGAAATTCAGTTTTAAGTTCCTTCCCAATGGTAAATAAAAAAGAAAGAGCATCATGCTATTGTCACCATGGAAGAAGCTTTTAGTTTCAAAATAAGTATTCTTGTTTTCAGCTGTTGCTTTTATTTTTTATTACAAAATTGTTGTTTTATATAGTTCTGTAACAAAAATAAAAATTTAATTAAAATGACATCTAATTACAAATTGTCATGTTCCGTAATTTTAATGATTTATACAGTAACTAATATAAAAATCATATCTGGAAATAGTTCATGAATAGTTTATATAGTGTTACAGTCTTGAAAATTAAACTCTTACAATAAAATTAAAGAATAAACAGAATTCAGTTTAAATGTAAAAGACCATTAAAATAATTGTTAAAAAAGTTGACAAATTAGAATATGTAAGTGCAACCTTTCTTATAAGGATTTATAAAAAGGAAAAAATTTTAAAAATTAAAAAATAAAAGGTTTAAAAATGAAAATTTAAAAAAGCTACTAGAAAACTTCTACACCAGTCAAGGACAAATTTCATAATATGCAAATAGATTGATTTGAATTCTAATAACATCACACCTGTCCATCAGAGAGGAACCCAGCAACATCAATGACAGAGGTAAACTCCTTGGGGAGCAACTCCGGCTTGTTCACACCTACTTTTGCAGCCTCGGCCACCCGAATTCCTACAAATTATAAGCTTCAATTTCTCATTGCAGCATTAGGAAAAAGGAAAAGAGAGGTAGCGGAAATTACCTCCGAATAATAACCCAAGTGAGAGGGCTCCAGAGAGAGCAAAATGAAGAGGTTTGAAAGAGCTGAAAGTGGCGTGTGAAGGGGCATGATACGACAGCGTCTTGAGCTGTAATCGCCGAACGGGAAGCGAAGGAGTTTGGGGAGTGAGAGATGCAGATAAAGATGGTAACGAAGGAATATGATGAAGATAATGAGAATGCGCCATGATCTTCCTTCTCTGGAAACGCCCTTGTTTGACAGTTGTTATGGATGCTTCTTTACAAGGTTTAGTTGGGCTTATCAATTTGGGTTGTGCTGCACTGAGTAGGTTTTGTCAAGCCCATCACTATCGGTAACGGCTTTAATCTTCATTCACTTCTGCACTCCTTTATTACTAACTTCACCACCATTCCAATATAAAAATTTGATTGGACATTATGATGATTGGAATATGCTTATGAAAAATTTCTTGGGATCAAAAGGATATCAAAGTCTCATAGAAAGCATAAAAGAAAGTAATTGTCAATGCAAAATTGAAAGATATAAATAAAGGCGAAAAATTATCCCTTTTAGGCTATGGACAAATCAATTTTGAAAGCCATTTTGAACAAAGATACATCTAAAAACTAAAAACATTTGAAATTCTTTGAAGAAAAAATGTCAAGGGATAACAAAAGTGTAGTAAGCACAACGACAATCATTCTAAAATGAATTTGAAATGTTCAAGATGAAAGAGGTAGAATCTATAAATGAATATTTTACACACACCCTTACCATCGTCAACAAACTACGAGTCAATAAAACAAATATGGATGATGTTGAAGTTATTAACAAGATATTGAAATCCATGACACCGAGTTGAATTACATGATATGCTCTACTGAGGAACCAAAAGATTTTGATGCACTTACTATATATTATAAAATAGTCTTCCAGTCTATGAACAATGGATGAAACCTCATGAAATAGAAGAGTAAGCTTTGAAGATTACCTTTAGTGAATCTTTAAGAGGATCATGGTAGAATTCTAGGACAAGGAAGAAGTAGGGACAGACACAGTTTTCATAAATCTTTCATTGAGTGTTATCATTGCCATAAACTTGGACAATTTTAATATGTATGCCCAATGAAGGAATCAAATTCAATGACTGCAATGAGACGTTTTTATTGTATAATTTTTTATAAATAAAAAATATATATTATTATTTATTATTTTATATTATTATGTTTATTATATGAAAATAAATGTTTAAATGTTGTGAAAAAAATTAATTGTATAAAATCAAATATTCTAAAGACATAGAGCTTAATTATGTGGACAAACTACTTTTTTAATAAGAGAGTCTCTTACTATTTTTTTTTCTCTATTAATTTTTTTCTCATTTTTAGATTGAGGTTCTTCTTTGTAAATTTTCTATTATTATTTTAAAATATTATTAAAAGTGGGAAATAATCTGTTTACCAAATCTCATTTTTTACTGCTATAATTTATAAATAATAATAATAAGTATTATTATTATACACGCCATTGAAAACATATCTATTTATACATATGCCTATTCGATTTTTTGTTATGAAAAAAAATATTATCATAATTATTAAAATAAAAATACTAATATATTTTAAAGAATATATGTTCATAAAAAATTATTATAAAATAAATAACTTTTATAATTTTATCATAGATAGTTTTTTATTATAGATAATTAATTTAGATTAAAAAACTAATTTCAAAATTTAAATAATAAAATAATAAAATAATAAAATGAGATATATTGATAAAAATAAAATCAAAATATATATATATATATACACTAAAAGAATGGAGTTACAAAGCAGTTATTAAGATTTTATGGATATGTGTGTGTGAAAATACTTTCATGTTAATAAGTTTCATGCTTGCTACATAAAATTTGAAGGGTTTGAGATGAAAATTTAACTAAATTTCATAGCCAATTATAGCTTCCAATATAAGAGCAACCATTTGAAAAAAAAAAGTAAAATGACTAGGTTAAAGAACCATTACCGTATCGATTTTTTTTAAGATTATTTATTTATTTTTTTGTTAAAGGAACTTTCTCTTTTTTTTAGAGGGGTTAAAAAAACTTAACAAATATATAATCCTGGTACTAATCATCATTAAGTTTATATTTTCCTTTTAATTTTCAGCTAAAATAAGTCGACAAATTCATATCAAAGGCATTGACATATCATTTGTTATTATATTTTTATTTATGTTTTGAATTTAATTCATATTTCTTCTATTATAAATAAAATACTTATATAATCAACATAAAAAAATTAAACTTATACATAATTTTCACTATATTATGTAAATAAATTTCTTAAATAAAATTTCGACTATAAGTATCGAATTGTTGACCAAATATATGCTATATACCAGAAGCATAACATCCATGCTATAAAAAGTTACTCATAAGCACTTGCAAATATAGTAGAAAAAAGAAACAAAAGAAATGTTATTTGCTTCTATTTAGTATCAAAGTATTTCAATTTAAAAACGCTAAAAATGCATTAAAACTTGTTTCCTGAACTTTTAAAAGTGCAATTTAATTCAAAACCAAGTTTGCACAATTGAATCTCAAATAATCTGCAAGAGATTCAAAAAATGAATTAATTGCTCCAGTGACTTTTTTTTCAGAAAGAATTTATCCAGTAACTTGAAAAGGTTTGGAAATCATTCTTCCGCGTCTAAAAACCTATTTTTCGCACTAGATAATATTCAATTGAATTTGATTCGTAATCTGTTTTGATTACTTTATTCGAGATACCAGATTTATTCTTCATTGATAGATAAATAGAGCTGAAAAGGGTGTAATCACTTATCAGACACAATTGAAATCTACGGACAAGTAAAATATTTAAGACTAAAATAACTTATCGCCATTGTCTCCATACGGAATCAGATTATTTTCTTTAGGACTCAACCATCCATAAGTTTAGCAAATGCAGAAGATGTCCCCTTGGAGTTAATAGCATCTCACCCTTCAACCCTTCAACTTTTTTACTTGTTTACAGAAGTATATTATACAGAACTCCCCAGATAGTATCTTAAACTAACGGGAAAACACCCCTATACACTACACTGACTGTAGTTCAATGATGCTTAACAGCCATGCAGTGTATAAGTAGTGTATAAGTATAAGTAGCTTCTATAAACCCCCAAAGACTAAAAGATTATCATCCCCAAAGTTGTGTATAAGTAGCTTCTATAAAACCCTGTAGGAGGTCAACAGAACATGCTCACAACAATTGAATACAGTTACTTATCTCGATAGTTTGTAATTCGAATAATCATGTAGTTATTAAAAAAGAGGACTGAACACAAGAAAAGTGAAGTCATGAGAGAAAAGCAGTGGAGTGGGGGAGGGGGACGTAAATTTTATCCAGGGTTGCAAACAAAATAAAGATAGGGCAAAGTCTGTAAGAAATAAAACAGAAGGGACCTAAGGAAAGTAAACAGGCCAGTTGTAGTAGTAATGTTCTCGGTGGACCTTATCCCAAGTCTTGTTCCACTGCATCAACACAATTTTTTTAACAGATAATTAATTCCTCATATTAAATAAAGCACAAAGTAAACAAAAGTATCAGCTCTGCTCAGCTAAAGCTCTCAAGAAACATTCGGTAAACTAGCATACCAAGAACTCATATGGCTGATTCTTCTTCCTTGCCTGTTTCCAGTGATATTGCTCGAATAAAACTGCTTTATCATGCCAGCTGTACATTAAACGATCATAGACTAAGTAATTTAAATGAATTGATGCCCAAAAAGAAGCTTCAAAAGATTAAATAATAAATAGTTAAAGAAGAGAAATGGTGCATGCAGAATGTCAATTCTACTCAACTATCATAATCAGAATATGGGGGAAAATCCCGGGAAGAAAACCAAGTCAACCTTAAAGCAAACAATAGCTATGCTTCAATATCCCACAAATGCGTACAGAAATAGATGAGTCCCTTTTATCTTGTTCACTTTTTCTTGAAACTTTAGGAGGAGAATAGAATATATTTCAGTTGTCTATTTTCACCATTTAACTCGTTTTTGTATGAGATATGAAAATGACATTCTTCCTTCATGGCTGTATTCAAACCTAGAATAAAGAACTCCCTCCATACCTCTTTCAAAGTCATCAGGTTTAGATTGGAATGGAGGAAAAGAAAGAAAAATGAATCATATAGGACAGTGAGCCTTCACACCTTCCTGTACACATACATACAACCATAACAAACATGAAAACACGACTAGAAGACCTAACTTTTGTGTGTAAAAGATGAACCTACAGTCCATTGCAAGCCACTCCATCCAATAGGTAAGCCCAACAGAATACCATCAGACTAAGGCCTGTTTGGATGAATTTCTCCATAGAAGAAAAATTAAAATTGGCTTCTCTACAAGCTAAAATTAGTTTATGCACATGGTAATTCGTAGAAACTTTCTCATATAGTTTCTCTAAAATTTATTCTTAACTTATGCACAATCTAATTTTAATTTAAGAAAAAGTCACTTTGATTTTTTCTTTCTTATATTTTTCTTTAGAATTGTTTATGGTGAAGTTCATCCAAACAAACACAAATCACTAGAAATTCTTGGGCGTAAATACAAGTGACACATACATTGTGAAGGGACTATAAAACTCCTTAATTGTTATTTTTGCATATGATTAAACAATGCACCCAATATACATTGAATACCAAGGGTCTTATTAGGAATAACGGTAAGAAATAAACTATTTCAATAATCAATAACATATATAATAAGTTATAACTATAACTGATTACAGTCACACTATAGAGTATTGACTGTGGCTGAAGAGTAATCCCTAGTAAAACAATTCAGTAAACAAAAAAGATAATCTAAGCATTACCTAAACAAAGTTCAATTCAATCGTACTGTGACGTCTATACTCGAAGTTTGAAATAACAGAAAAGAACACAAAAAGAGAAGAGGAAAAGAAAATGGTACTTGAACTGATTAGAAAGCGTCCACATATAGGGATTGAAGTATGTGAGAACAGAGAAGGCAGCGGATCCAATCCAAATGTTGACAAACCGATCCGGGTCCGCATGGGGCACGCCCGGGTCACCGCGATAAGCGTTTCCGAAGTACTTTTCCATTCTTCTTCTCTCCTTTCTCTGCTTTGCTTCTCTCTGAGTTTTCAGAGCTCCACTCTTATCCCCTTCTCTCAATGTAAACCACTCTTATTCATACATAAATTTGCTCACGACGTCGTTTCATGTTTTTGCTGTGATATTAGTGCCACAATTTCTTTCTTGGGCTTCTGTTTTGAAAACGAATGTTTCATCTTACACCTCTAATGTCTTCTTGGATTTTTTAAAATTCCATTTTCAACCTTTTAACCTTTCATCTTCCGTTCAACTTTTTCAAAAATTTCACTTTTAATTTTAAAAAATACGTTTTTATATTTTTCTTTTTCTTATTAAAAACACTTTACACCACCTTTATAATAATTAAATTTAAAATTCAAATATTATTTAATATAATTTTATATTTAAATAATTATTAAAATATCATTTATATTATAATATTAGTTATATTAAAAATATAAAAATAAAATAATAACAATAAAAATAAAATTATATTAAATAATATATTTAAATATATTAAATTATATTAAAATTCTAAAATAAATTAAATAATTATTAAACTTAAATAAAAGATAAAGTTTAAAAAACAATTATTTATTTAAAATCAAATAAAATTATATTAAATAAAATATTCAAATACATTTAAATTATATTAAAATATTGGCTTAATACCCTCTTTCGTCCCCACTTTCGTTGGATAATGTCAATTCAGTCCTCATTTTTTAAAGTGTTTGGAATATGTCCATAGTTAGTAAAATTTGCGTCTAATTTGTCCCTTCCGTTAAGTATAATCAAACGAAGTTAGTGTGTTGATGATCTGGCACTAGATATTGATGACGTGTCAATATATTATTTTGTGGGTGCTGACGTGTTACTTTCTTTCAGGGTCTTCTTCTTTTTGTTTGTCTTCTTCTTCTTTAATAATTCATTCCCCCATTTTCCCACCTTACACAACCGAGCTTTATGTATGTATAATCAACCTCAAAAACATCAAATTCATGCACAACAGAGGTTTCATTCTCATTCTCATCTTAAATCAAAAGATCTTATATCATCAAATCATCAACAGCTTCCAAAAAGAAGAAAGAATCAATTAATCTTATATCATCAAATCATCAACACCTCGCCATGCAAGCTGGATCAAAGACGCGATTATTAACGCAATTGAAGTCTTCAAAATCAGCAACTCAACAGTTAGTCTCACTGGACAAAACCCAAACCCTCCTCCTCAAAAGCCTAAGGTTCCCTTTAGCTCAAACAAGAAAAGTAGCGTCTTTACGAAAAGCCGAGAAGCCATACTAGGAGCAGTTGCAGGTGTCCTTTTGCTCTCTTCTATTCTTGTTTTCTTCCTCATCAAATACAAAAAGAATATCGCCCTTGAAAGTGGTTCCAGCAAAAAAGGCGGAACTTCTCGCGGGGGTGGCTCATCGTCACTGCCAACCAACCTCTGCCGCTACTTCTCCATAGCAGAAATCAGAGCCGCCACCGATAACTTCAACGAACAATTGATGGTTGGAGTGGGAGGCTTCGGGAACGTGTACAAAGGCTACGTAGATGAGGGTTCAGTACATGTTGCAATTCATTAGGGGTTCTCTTTTGGTATTTGATTTTTTAGAGTTGGGATGCAGAGTTTCGTTTCGCTCTGTTTTTGGGAAAATTCTTGATTTTTCTGATTTCGATTTGGGTTGAGGTTCTTCCATCTTGCTGATCAGTGGCTAGAAGTTTGGTTTGATTTCCTGTTCTTGCGTTCGTGTTTGCGGAGTTGTAGATTGTTATTTGAAGTGTTTCTATGCACGTTTTAGGGTTATTTGTTTTGCGATGTCTGATCTGTAGTGACGATGCTGGTTGGACCAGTGGAGCGACGAGGGTGGTCTTGGCGTGGACGACGAGGTCGAAGGCGTCACCGGGAAGGGAGAGGCGGATGTTGGCGTCGCTGGGGAGGGAGAGGCGGATGTCGACGTTGCCGAGGAGGGAGAGGTTGATGACGGTGTCGCGATGTAGAAACTCTAAATCAATTTTCCCCTAATATAAAAACCCTAACTTTAAAAACCTCAATAATATGGTGTTTTATTAACAGGTCACCACCGTACCAAACAATAAATTGACACGTCATCAATATCTGGTGCCACATCATCAACACACTAACTCCGTTTGATTATACTTAACGGAAGGGACAAATTAGACGTAAATTTTACTAACTGTAGACATATTCCAAACACTTTCAAAAATGAGGACTGAATTGACATTATCCAACGAAAGTGAGAACGAAAGAGGGTATTAAGCCTAAAATATTAAATTAAATTAAATAATTATTAAAATTTAAATAAAAAATAATTTTTTGAAAACAATTATTCATCGGATATGAATATCCGAAACATTACTTTTAAAATTTTAATGATTATTGAATTTAATTTAATATTTTAATACAATTTAATATATTTAAATATATGATGAAATGTTATTTTTATTTTTATTATTATTATTCTTATTTTAGTTATTATTATTTTAATTCTTTTAATAAAACTGTTATAAAAATATAAATCATATGTTAATAATTATTAAAATATAAAAATATAATAAATAATATTATAATTTTTGTTTAAATTTAATATTTGTTAAATTTTAAATAAAAAAGCAAAAGTGTTAGCATATTTTGATTTTAATATCTGAAGTTTTTAAAATTTTGGTTTTTAATTAAAATTTAATAATTATTTAATTTAATTTAATATTTTAATATATTTAAATATATTAAATCAAATTTATTATTACTATTTATTTTTATTATTTTTATTTTTATTTTTATTATTTTATTTTTAAGTTTTTAATATAACTATTATTATAATATAAATTATATTTTAATAATTATTAAAATATTAAATTATATTAAATAATATTTAAATTTTAAATTAAATTAAATTATTATTAAAGTGGTGAAGAATGCTTTTAATAAGAAAGAAAAGAAAATGAAAAAATATTTATTAAAGTTGAAATGAAAATTTTGGAAAAATTGGAGGTGTAAGATGAGATGTTAGAAAGTTAAAAATGTAATTTTTGGAAATGCAAGATGAGATTTTAGAGGTATAGGATGAAACACTCTTTGAAAACTGGGCCCAACTCTGTGTAAGACATATCGGTTCAAGTAAACTATAAAATTCAACTAAAAACCGAATTACAATTTAAAATATTTATCATTTTTTTTTCTACATATAATCACACCCGCTTCTGTTAACATACATTATTTTAATTATATTTTAAGTTTATAAAGGTATAAATTTATGTTTAATTTTATTTTTCTAACTTTATAATAATATTACTAATGAAAACCAATACATTTTCATGTGTCTTCACATTTTTATTATATTAAAATATATATAATCTAATTATTGTTAGATTATTTAATTATTTTGAAATGAAAATAAATTATTCAATTAGGTAGCCAATATGTTTAAAAAGAGTAGACATGTTAGAATCATTAAAAACGCACCCAAAAACCCTATGAACGGACGTCAGGTGTCAAGCAGAGGGGATTCGGAAATCAAATAGTGGAATGTAGGTGTCGGCAGATGAGCGGACGTTCGTTTTGAAGTGGGAAGCAAAACTTGATTTTTCAGAAAATTCACGTCACACTCTCTGCATGCACCTTCTTCCTCAAACTCTGAAAATTTTCATTTCTCCTTCTTCTCTCTAAAAACCTCTCCCTTCTCTCTACCAAATCTCACCTTTTCTCTTCTCCGATCATCGTTTAGGCACCGTAGAAGCACTTCCGGCGTCCAGAGCTTCAGTTTGAACCGATCAATTTCGAGTTCTGAACTGGTAAGTTTTTCTTGTCCTTAGTCGTTCGTTATCTGGTACATGCAAACCAAGTTCTGGTTGCATGATTTCATCTTGTTTGAGCCATTGTTGGTATTCTTTTGTTTGGTTTAGTTTGAAGAATTATTGAATGTGAGGGTAGAAGGAATTGTAGTCAGGCGAACCTTAATTTTGCCTCTAGGAACGTTCGTTCACGCTCAGAGGTAACAGAAACTTATCTAATTTAATTTGTATGTTTCTGTGTTGCATGAACGTTCGTTGATTTGATGATTGGAAAGGAAATATGATGGTGTTATGTTCTGATGTATGAAATATATGAAATTTCTATGATATGGATTGTATGAAGTATGAAAATTGACTATGATATGAATGTATGAAATTATGAAGTTATATGTTGAGAAATGAGTTTAAATATAAATGATTCTAGTATGAAATTTCCACTATGAAAGTGTACGTTCGTCACTGAACGGTCCTTGACCGTTCGGTGTTTCTAGTGAATTTGGTTGAAATTGAATTCTTTCATTTGGAAAGGATCGTAGTTGAGGACGAGCGTCTTCGTTTCGAGAAACTGTGCATGAACGTTCGGCCAAGCATAGTTAGTTTTTGGCGTTCGATTATAAACTTAAGTATATATATATATATATATATATATATATATATATATATATATATATATATATATAACAAGCATTAAATGTCATTAAATGTGTAAAGTTCAAAAATAACAAAAGTAATAAGAGATAAGACATATTTTGTTGCATGCACAATCTACTATATTCTATACACGCATCTATTATTATATTTGAAATATATCAGAAGTGGACGCTAGAGACATTCACAAAATGTTCTCTTCATAAGAAAAAGTGTTTGAAATAAAGTACAACCTATATTAACCAAAGTACTAGAAGCAAATATGCTCTGACAAGTTGACTTTAACCAACGAGTGTGTCACACGCAAGACAAAGAAGATACAAGAATCAAGGCTAAGAGCTCATACTAACATATATATTTTCAAAGAGCCTTTAAATAGAAGGTCATTCAAAGGAAGAATCGAAAGGATAACCCAAGAAGATAACTTTCAACGTAAATATCAATCCTACGAAAAGTATATAAAAGAGAAGCATAAAGAAGCTCAAGCAAAAAGAAAATATTTGATTAGAGAAAAAGAAAAGTCAAGCAATACTCTCGAGCATCATTGTAATATTTGCTTATTGTTGAAAAAAGAGAGAAAAGAGAAACATCTAGCGAGTTTATAGACTGTATTGTATTGAACATATATCCTCTTTATGAGAGTAA